TTAGATTACGATAGTTGAGGTTAGGTTATGTCACTTGAGTTATTTTTCAGCAAGTTAAGGGTGTTCAAGTTAGGTTAGGTTAGGTTATGTTTGATTTGGTTTGGTTAGGATAGGTTATGTTAGGTTTGGTTAAGTGATGTTAGGTTAGGTTAGGTTAGGTTATGTATGCTAGGCTAAGTTCGTTAACGGTAATTAACCTGCACCTCATTTTACCTGTACATGACTTCACACACCATTATCAACTCCCCACACCTGCACTTTATATCACACGGATAAATATTCATATCAGTTACAACTTTTCACGCGATAAAACTCTCGATAAAATAATCCTTGAAATTTGTTATCACTGGACGTTGCGATTATATTATCATCACGAACCAATCCAGATGTGTTGACGGGTTTATAAGCTATATTAAGTACACCCACAGGTTATGATCAAGTCCAAGCTCGTCTTATCTACTCCTATGTGTTTAAATCATTAAATCTCTATGGGGAAAAATCTGATACTATCCCCCCCATAGACATACATCCATCCTCTGCCCTCACAAATATCTTCCCCCTCCCAAATACAACCTCCCTCTCCTCTTCCCTCACACACAAGCGCCTCCCCCTCCCCCTTCCTAGACACAAACACCTTCCCCCCCCCCCCCCCCCCTCCCCCCACACATCACCTGTATAGCACATGTTGGGAACAAGTTGGTGGTGTTGACCTTCTTGGCGTCAATTAATTCCCCAGGTTTAATGGGTCTTGTTGCTTATTTACCTTGAAGTAATCTTTAGCTAAATTAACCTAACCTAATCTTCCCTAACTTAACCTAAACAAATCTTAACTTAACAATTACTTTATTATCAGGTCCCAATTATAGCAAAGAATGATGTCACGGAGGAAGACATCACACAGGGTTTGCGGGAGTCGGTGAAGGAGCCAGATGAGGCGAGACAGTGGCTAGATGACCTGAGTGTATCATATGAGGATGGATTCTTGGAACACCCAGCCACTGTGTTCCGCCTGGTGCTACACACTATGTCAGTACACCTGTCCTACAAAGTGCTTCAGGTGGCGGCCAGGTGAGTTATATACCCTCCCTCCCCCCTCCTCTCTCTCTCTCTCTCTCTCTCTCAGTCTTACGGTTCAAAAGTGAAATTTTACATGAATTCTTTTGTGTATGGTGTAATTTTTTCTCTCTCTTTGCACACACACACACACACACACACACACACGTTACCCCCAAAACATATATATCGTTGCAACGCCTAACCTCCCCCCCGCCCCCCTGATATGACTACCTTTTAAATCTCCTCTCGCTTGTCAACAGTACGGCTCTCCTGTCTCTCCTGGAGGGTGAAGACAAGACGTGGCTGGTGGAGGAAGACGGGAAGGAGGCGGTGAAGGTGCTGATGGTAGTGTTGAAGAGGTACATTAGCAGCCGTAGTCTCGTGTGTAATATCTGTTTGGTTCTATGTCGTCTACAGCTGCCGCATTACGCTGTAAGTTTTCTCTACTGGTTACGTTAGGTTAGGTTTGGTTAGGTTAGGTTTGGTTAGGTTAGGATAAGTTCACTTCCCTTTTAGCCAGAGTATTGGTAAATTCAGATCATTAGCCGGATTACAGGTATAATGAGACTTAGAGGGAAAAACTTACTAATCCTCGTAATTGGACAATGAGAGAGAGAGAGAGAGAGAGAGAGAGAGAGAGAGAGAGAGAGAGAGAGAGAGAGAGAGCCACGATATCTCACAGCTGGTGTCTTATTCCCCCAGGGTGAGAGATTCCCACAGCTAGTTCGTCTGTTGGTAGAGTTGGTGAGAGACAGAGGGGTGAGAGACGATACCAAGAGAAAGGTGGCGGTGGAGGTACTTAGATATTCTGCCAGTGAATCCGACCAACACCTCCGGGCTATTATGGGCGACTTTGGTGTTGTTTCGGTGAGTCTTCCTGCAGGTGTGTCTGTACTTGGTGACCAGGTGTGTCTGTACTTGGTGACCAGGTGTGTCTGTATTTGGTGACCAGGTGTGTCTGTACTTGGTGACCAGGTGTGTCTGTATTTGGTGACCAGGTGTGTCTGTATTTGGTGACCAGGTGTGTCTGTATTTGGTGACCAGGTGTGTCTGTATTTGGTGACCAGGTGTGTCTGTATTTGGTGACCAGGTGTGTCTGTATTTGGTGACCAGGTGTGTCTGTATTTAGTGACCAGGTGTGTCTGTATTTGGTGACCAGGTGTGTCTGTATTTGGTGACCAGGTGTGTCTGTACTTGGTGACCAGGTGTGTCTGTATTTGGTGACCAGGTGTGTCTGTATTTGGTGACCAGGTGTGTCTGTATTTGGTGACCAGGTGTGTCTGTACTTGGTGACCAGGCTGTCTTCAACACCTGGGTATCGACTCTACACCAAACATCTATCATCTCAGTACTCGACCTCCCTCCTCACAGGCGATGCTGGGGTTAATCGACAGTCGACTAGATCGACAGGCCACGATCTACCACGGGGAGACGGAGTGGATGACCCTGTGGAGCCTAACCAAGGATGTACCAGCTAACTGTCAGCTGTTTCTGGACGGTCAGGGGCTTGCTTACGTCATGAAGTATTTACAGGTGAGAGAGAGAGAGAGAGAGAGAGAGAGAGAGAGAGAGAGAGAGAGAGAGTTTAATTAGACGATTGGTACAGAAAAATAAGAAACAGATAATCAAATAATATTAACCACTTCAACACAAAACAATAACATCACAAAAAAAAATACTGTAGTTAAGGTTAAACGTGTGTTACTCTGATCTCCTACAGGTGTACCCATGCGGAGACGAGCTCAGGTACCCCATCACTGGTCTCCTACACGACCTGGTCACCACTCATCATTATCGGCCGTATTTTATGTCCTGTCCCGGCCTGATTACTGTGGTCTTTGATCTACTAAGGAAGGCGTATAATACCTTTGACGTGAGTGGGTCTGTCTCTCTCTCACCTCATATCATATTACAGTGCAAGTATGGCCAGGTAACAAACACACACACACACACATATTACAGGTGAGGTGCCACGCGGCTCAGGTGTTGGCGTTCCTGGTTAGCGACGGTGAGAAGGAGTGGACCGTCGACGATCCCACCAGGCACAAGGCAGTGACCACCCTCGGGATCTTCCTCTCCAGAAGAACCGTAAACAAATATCGAGAGTGTTCATACGAGTGAGTGACTGGAAACTTTTTTGACGATGTGAATGTGAATCTCTCTCTCTCTCTCTCTCTCTCTCTCTCTCTCTCTCTCTCTCTCTCTCTCTGTCTCCTTCGTCACCACATTAATATTAGCTACATCAATTAAATCCCAAAAGAGTTTTATTTTCAACATATCCTACATAAGATTCTTTAGTGGGTATAGAGAAATCAAATCCTCAATGATCCTTACCTTCAAATATTGCAAAGTTATCAGTGTGTTTGTCACGTCTTGATGTAAATAACGACGATGGTACTTATTACACAGCTCCCTGGACGGTCTGCTGGCACTACTAAAGGTCAACCACACCCAAGAATGCCAAGAATGGGCTGCATGGTCATTAGCCAATCTCACTGTAATTAACGGTAGGTACACAATTACCACAAAGTACTGAGTCTTCCCCTTCACTCCTATCTTATTACATTATTGCCGTAGTTTGATGTTACTATAGAATCACTGTATCACTGTTCCTCTGTGGTGTCAGGTAAGATGTGCTGCTTCATCACTGTAGCTGTACATCACTGTAGTAATTGACTGTCTATAATGTCTCATCACTGTAATAATTAGCTGTCTATATTGTCTCATCACTGTAATAATTAACTGTCTATATTGTCTCATCACTGTAATAATTAACTGTCTATATTGTCTCATCACTGTAATAATTAGCTGTCTATATTGTCTCATCACTGTAATAATTAGCTGTCTATATTGTCTCATCACTGTAATAATTAGCTGTCTATATTGTCTCATCACTGTAATAATTAGCTGTCTATATTGCCTTTCTCTGTTAAACTGAATCACTGGTCTACTGTTGTGGCAGGTAAGAAGTATTGCCGCATGTTGGAGGAGGACGGAGGTCTGGCAGTGGTAGAGGAGGTGATGGGGGACTGTAAACTTGACCACAACACCAAGACGTTACTGAGGATCGTCAAGAAACAATGTCGACATATACGGCCTCCCATACAGGACGTTAAACAACATAAGAATAAGGAGACCATCGGGAAACTAGAGGAAGTTGACCACAGTCCCACTACAAAACTAAAGAAGATTATAAAAAGCTTGGAATTCTCGCAAAGGCAATTAATCGACTTAAAAGAAAAGTTGAGCGCTGAAGTTGATGAGAGCCGATCACCCAAGACCCAAGTTCAACAGCTGAGCGAGGATAACTCCAAGCTAAAGACGGAACTAATGACAACAACGGATCAGGTGGATTATGTAGACGACGTAGGGCGGCGAAATAACCTCAAGCTTGCCGGAGATCCCCAAGATTTCCACGAGAACTAGGAGTCATCCCAGCACAAAATGTCACGCCTGCTGAATGAACGTTTTAAACTTACCGAAGTCAAGTTTGACCGTGTTCAATACGTAGGGAAACCCAACCCCTCCCGCCCCCGCGACATCATAACAAAATTATCTTCCCCTGTGACCGTGACAAAGAGTTTTATGGGCACAGTAAGCTGAAAGACACCACTGTCTTTGTCAACGAAAACCTATGCCCAGGTACGACTAAAGCCCGCCAACAGCAAATGAACCAGTTTAAAGAAGCCAGGAAACATGGGAAACACCCTTGTTGTGAGGGACTCTCGGGTAAGTGGACACCCCCCACTTACCTACCTGCTGTATCAACCTCCCCCCCCCCCTCCAAGTCCCACAGGAATCCCCTCCCCTCAGGGAGGGAACCAGCCCCTGCCCGCATCCTGGCTATCACCTGTGGAGTTCCCCACGCCGGCAACCCCAGTTACTACACGTCCACCCTTTGCGATGGGAATCAGAATCACCAACCCACATAACCAAGAATCGCCCTCAACCATATCGGTCATCTTAATTCTGTTGGATGTAGCACTTGTGAGTATGTTCCCCCCCCCCACTATTATAACTTTCTTTGACCTTCCTTTTTCACACCTCAGTGACCCTGAGTTTTTGCTGTTCCTTAATCAGTACCGATATTCCCATACTGATGATGCTAGTGCCGTTCCCATAGATGTACTGGACCAACGAGGAGTAGTACAGTTTGACTCTATGAGGGGAGCCCCGTGAGACAGTGTCTGTCTGGCTTCTCCGTCCGCTGCCCCCTGGTAGGCGCCTCGTTCATCAGGACTCTGTGTAGAGTCCTGGCACAGTTCGCCTGCAGAGTCTGTCTCTACAAAATCCTGAAGGAGTTTCAGAAGAAAAATGAAGGCGTCGCCACCGCCGACACCAGTTTAATGGCTCACCAAGAAGTTTTACTTCAACCCCACATAATGACCTGTGCACACACTCGCTTATCTACACGCAGATTCTGGCTGTGTTGTGACCTAAAACATTCTTTATGTAAATAAATCCTTATTTAGATAAAAAAAGCAAATTAAGTTATAGTTATTGTCGTGACCTTATTAGTTAATTATTATTTTGGGGATATAATGAGCATTAAAAGATATGATTAGATAATAACTGTTTAAAATGTGGTGAAAACATCCCAGGTGTTGATGCTGATATTATGATACCCAACACAGAGGGGCAGCTTATGAACGAAACGCCTTGAAATTTGCATCCAAAGTGAAAACCCGGAAACTTGTGGCGGGTGTCAGGTACAGGAGCCGTAACACCTTGACGCTCACGGTATGTTGAAGGATGCGTGTGGCGAGTGGATTACTGTACACGATAATTGACAGCTTAATATATGACGTTTAGACTGTGTGTGTGTGTGTGTGTGTGTGTGTGTGTGTGTGTGTGTGTGTGTGCGTGCGTGTGTGTAATAATAACACAAAAATAACAATATAATCTAATCATACATAACAATAATAATAACAACCTAAAGGGTTATTTAATATCACAACAATGAAAAGAATAAAATATACAAAAGACTGATGCGTAATTAGTGAAAAATTGTTGTTGCACTGTGAGATTGTCCTCGGCAGGTGAGGTCAGGTCAGGTGAGGTCAGGTCAGGTTCGAGTGGTAAGCTACACAACATTGATCCTCACTACCAGCTATTGTCACTACTTCCAGGACCTATACCTCAGTCACTACTATTTTGGGTTGGGTTTACGCTCAGAACCACCAGGGTCGTCCAAGTCGTCTGTGTTTACCCTCACAACCACCAGGGGCGTTCAGGTCGTCTGTGTTTACCCTCACAACCACCAGGGGCGTTCAGGTCGTTTTTATTTACCCCCACAACCACCAGGGTCGTCCAGATCGTCTTTGTTTACCCTCACAACCACCAGGGTCGTCCAGGTCGTCTTTATTTACCTCACAAGACAATATGTTCACAGGTCGCTGAGCTGTGTTGACTTGAAGACTTTTATTGTGTTGTAAGAGTGAGTCGCAGGAGCAGATGACATGATACTATGGACTTGAACCATAACCTAACCTAATCAAATTTAACTGAACTAACCGAATTTAAGTAACATAGCCCCAAGGTTAACGAAATCTAACCTTGCATAACCTAACCAAATCAAACGGAACCAAACCTAACCTAACCAAACCAAATCAAATCTAACCTAACCTAACCTAACCTAACCAAACCAAACCAAACGGAACCTAACCTCTAGTGCTGTTGTTGACATTAATATAACCCACATTTTCACGGGTCACTCAACTATTTTACTTACAATGCTTTTAACGTCAGAGTCTCTTGTTTATTGTATGTGCTTTTCCTCTTTCTTCCTGCATTACTAACAAGGATAACAGAAAAATTTTTACCTCATTTTTAGCCACGATGTTTTTTTTTCTCTTTTGCAGTAGATGTTTGTTATGTTTGAATACTGTTTTATGGTTGGATTACAGTCTACAGGAAAATAATGAGGTTTTCGCAGTTACACACACACAAATATACAAACACACACTACAATACACACACACACACACACAGACACACACACTTGTTCCCTCCACATTACCACAACACAATCTCACTCGGCTTAACACTGTCCCACTAAGCTTAACATTGTACCACTCGGCTTAACATTGTACCACTCAGCTTAACACAAATGGTTAGTCTTTATAAAGTACCATTTTGGGTGAGTTAACAGGGCCTAATCCTTTAACTTCACCGTAATGATACTGACTGGGGTTACCTGAGGTCATTAAAGGGGATAATCACCACACGCCGACCAGGTGCTCTAGGTCACCGAGGATACAACGATCTTACCTTTTATTAGTTTTATATTGTGACTAATTACTTTTTATTGCTGTGATTTACGATGTGATTCTCTCTCTCTCTCTCTCTCTCTCTCTCTCTCTCTCTCTCTCTCTCTCTCTCTCTTTCTCTCTCAAATTTACAGGAGAGTCAGGACAGTAGTACATAGGTAAGTTAGGGCAGGTGAATTAGGACAGTAGTACACAGGTAAGTTAGGACAGTAGTGCACAGAGCAGGTGAATTAGGACAGTAGTACACAGGTAAGTTAGGACAGGTGAATTAGGACAGTAGGACACAGGTGAGTTTGGACAGTAGGTCACAGGTGAGTTAGAACAGGTTAATTAGGACAGGTGAGTTAGAACAGTAGGACACACAGGTGAGTTAAGACACAGGTGAATTAGGACAGGTGAGTTAGGACACAGGTGAGTTAGGACAGTAGGACACACAGGTGAGTTAGGACAGGTGAGTTAGGAGCCAGGTGGTGGTGGTCGCCGCTGGGCCACCAATATCGACTGCCAATACTAATCGTGTTGGTTGCAGCCTGAGGACCCACCACGGTACACCTTCAGAATTTCTTATTAACGACCACATAAACGTTCATGCACATCTTGACGCGGCTCCCCTTCAGTAAAACTTCCATTTCTAAATCTATTACAAATTCAAAATAAACTTCTATCAATCCTGTATCTTATTTTTTTATTCATTTGGTCTAGTATGTGTGTTAAGTTTATCTGTTAAAATACGTATATATATATATATATATATATATATATATATCTTGATATTTTCCTTTAGTTTCTTGAAGTTAGAATTGGATATTGAAAATCATCTTCAATTGGTCTCTCCAAAGCTGAACTTGTGTGTGTGTGTGTGTGTGTGTGCTCATAAAATATGTATACCGCATAGAGCTAAAATTCAGTGCCATGTCAACTTTGTCCGCCAGAACTTAAACATATACGACATTATACATAATTCAGAGAGATACATATACATATATACATACAGTAAAAGCCCAACACACCTGAATTCTCACATAAGTTCAGATTTTCAGAACTAGCATGACACTTATATTTTTTTAAGGACACACACACACACACACACACACACACACACACACACACACACACACACACACACACACACACACACACACACATCCTAAACCAAACCAGGAGGCACACTTACAGGTACTACAGGTACAGGCACTACAGGTACAGGTACAAGCACAGGTACAGGTACAGGTACAGGCACAGGTACAGGTATAGTGAAGACGCCCAGGTGACTCACGTGCTGGGTGGCTACTCCGGCTTCCTCATTACCAATAATCTGTGTATTTTGGTGCAGGAGTCTTGTGGTTCCTGATACTCCTCGCTGTTAAACCGCCGCCACATAAATATTTACCAACACTGTGGTTTGGGGGTAGAATGAGGTCATAGTGTTCAACCTTCCCCTTATAAATTACGTCAGGTAGTCAGTCATTTTGCTTTGTTTTAAGTTAAGTCAATGTCAGTCAGTAAGTCATTTTGTTTTTTGTTTTTTTGTAGAGTAAGTCAGTCAGTCAGCTTGTTTAATTTATTTGTAAAGTCAAGATAAATCAGTTATTTTGTTTGTAAAGTCAAGTTAAGTCAGTCAGTTTGTTTTTTGTTTGTGAAGTAAGTCAAGCAGACAATCAGCCACCTTGCTTGAGTGATAAAAAGTTAACTAAAATCTAAGTCTTTCTCTCGCATACGCCAATCAACACACACACACAAACAAACACCACTTACCCACCCACCCATCCACCCACCCGCCCACCCACCCACTTGCCCACCTTCAAGAAAAGACAATTAAGATGAAAATGGTCCTTCAGTTAGCAGGTGTTTAAGACGAAGTAAGAAAGAGCGAGTGTTATTACCCATGACAATATGGCCGCCACCTACCCCAGGCAATATCGATAACCAATATTTAGGAAGAGAGGGTTAAGTAAATACTGATGATGGGGAGAAACGAAGAAGAAGAAGAAGAAGAAGGAGGAGGAGGAATAGAAGGAGGAGGAAGAGAAGAAGGTTATTGTGTATGGTTTTACACTCATAGCTGCGTTAGTAGGGGGTGCTTGTTCCAACTAATATTTAAGAAACTCAAAATAAATATTGATAACGGGGAGACAGGAAGTGGAAGAAGAGAGGAAGGATAATATTCTGGCTAAACTGAATGATTAAGAATTCGCCAAGGCTGCGTTAGTGGGGAATGCGTAGCCGGGGAAGAAGAGGAAAATTTCTCTCAGTCAGTCAAGAAAGGCATTCACTGAACAGTCTTCAGTAATGCAGCTAAATAAGGTGCGGTGGCCGAGTGGATAAAATGCTCTCATCTCCTGTTTTAAGGATCACTGGTTCAAAACCGGGTCACTCCCAGACCAACCCAGCTGTAAAGAGGTACCTAAGTTTACAGTTGGGGGAGTGAAGTAGGTCGAATGCAGTGCCAATTATGCTTCGTCGTCTAAACTGCTGTGCCTATGAGACCCAATTCCAATGCAGGCATGAGGAAAGAGGAGGAAGAGGAGGGGGGGGGAAGAAGAAGAAGATGAGGAAGAGGAAGAAGAAAGTAATGATAAGGTACAGAAAGAAGAAGAAGATAATTACAGTATCTCAAACACTCATTAACTGAAATCCGCTGCTGATGACCCATTACCAAGTTGTTTGTTTACCTG